TAAAAATAAAGTCTGACACTAATGCTCCTAGTTCCTCCCAGCTCCCACATCAGTGACCTGTTGCAGCTTCTAACAATTTAGATTAGTATTGCCTGCTTTTATTCCTTATATAAATTGATGAACATTATGTTTACACAATTCAACCATATCGATGCATGCAATTGTATTCCATTAATTTCCATCACATATTGTGTTACATTGTATGAATAATCTACAATTTACTTTATTTTTAAATTTAAAAAATAGATAATTAGCTAAAGGATGGTAGAAGGACAGGGCAAAAAAGAACTAACATTTATTATTACTATTTTATCAGATATTATAGTAGGACTGTTTTTGTTTTTAATTGTGGGAAAAAGCGGGTAGCATAAAATTGACCATTTTAACCATTTTAAAGTGTACAGCCCAGTAGTGTTAAGTATATTTGCATCACTGTGAAAAGATTTCCAGAACTTTTCATCTTGTAAAACTACAACTCTGTTCCTATTAAATAACTTCCCAGATCCCCCAACCCCCCAGGTCCTGGACAACACCATTCTACCTTCTGTTTCTATAAATTTGACAACTCTAAGTACCTCATATGAGTGATATCATACCGTATTTGTCTTTTAGTGGCTTATTTTACTATGTCTGTTTCAGTTAGCATGATGTCATCCAGGTTTGGGCTCCCCTGGTGGCTCAGATGGTAAAGAATCTGCCTGCAGTACAGAAGACCCAAGTTCAGTCCCTGGATTGGGAAGATCTCCTGAAGAAGGGACTAGCAACCCACACAGTGTTCTTGCCTGGAGAATTCCATGGACAGAGGAGCCTGGTGGACTATAGTCCATGGAGTCACAAAGAGTTAGACGTGACTGAGTGACTAAACACACACACACATATCAAGATTTACCCCTGTTGTAGCATGTAACTGAATTTTCTTCCCTACTGAATAGTGTCCCGTTGTATGCACCTCATTTTCTTTTATGTACTCAACTGTCCATGGACGTTTGGACGTCCACCTCTTGGCTATTCTGAATAGTGCTGCTTATGAACATGGGTGTGCAAATATCTCTTCAAGACCCTGATTTTCAGTCCTTTTGGATATAGACCCAGAAGTGGGATTTCTGGATCACATGGTAGTTTTAAGAATCTGCATAGTGTTTTCCATAGCAGTTGCTCCACTTTACAATCTCACCAGTAGTGCATAAGCATTCTGGTGTCTCCAGATCCTTGCCAACACTTATTTTCTGTTTTTTGAAACTAGCCATTCTAATGCATGTTGTGTGGTAGGAGTTTCCCATATGATCTCTTTTTTAATTAAAATGGGCTACAAAGTATAAGTACCAATTTTACAGCAGTGACATCTTGACACAGTAAGCTTCCATAAGAGAAAAGACTGGGATTCCAATCCAAGTGGTCCTGAAATTGACAGTGAGGTTTTTATTCTTAAAGAGACATGTGATCACAGAACCAACCCAGCACTTCTGTTCTAAGCTATTAGAATTAAGGGCTACTTAAGATCACCTGAATTTGAAATAAGAGATTGAGGCTTAGGACAGGAGTTCTCCAAGTGTAGTCTCCAGGCCATTAGCAGCAGCGTTGCTGGGAACTTGTTATAAATGTGAAGTCCCATCTCAGACTGGAAGTGTGGACAGCAGTCTGTTTCAACTAGGCCTCCTGAGGATTCAAGTAGGCCCCTGAGGGTGCTGATGTGTGATAAGGTTAGAGCACCACTGTGTTTAAATCAATGGACAAACACAGAAACTGCTTTCTAATAATCTTTGCGCTATTGGATACAGGAAACTTACATGTTGAGCACTTTGAGGTGTCCTGGGCACCTGACATGGCAGATCTGCATTTTATGCTTCATACTCCAGTCTTAAGAAAAGTATTGGATTAGTCCAATTGAAATTATGTGGAAACAGTATGTCTCCAACCATTTGGAGATTCAGCCAGACTCCGACTGGTCAGAGCTGCTCCTGAACAAAAGACGACCTGGTAACAGGTGTCCTGGTCAGCATGGCCATGCCCAGCTCAGCATTTATCTGCTTTTTGCCGGGATTTTCATCCCAATCCACATCTGAGTCTCCATTTCTTGTCTCACTTTGCAAAGGGTCTAGAGTGAGCCCTGTGATGAAGGGCCTGACATAAGACGGAAGTTGAAACAAATACACAAAAATGGTTCCTCCATCTTCATCAGGGGGGTACTCCTAGCTCCAGCCCCAGAATATGGAATCTAAAAAAGCCAAACTCACAGAAGCAGAGGCTGAAGGCGGGGGTGCGGGGGATGAGAAGATGTCAGTCAAAGTGCACAAACTTCCAGTTAGAAGATGAGCATGTTTGGGGAAATTATAATGTACAGCATGATGACTGTAGTTAACAATACTGTGTTTATATGTGAAAGCTGATGAGAGAGTAGATTTTAAATATTCTCAACACATACACACACAAATGGTAATTATGTAGGGCAATGGAAGTATTCACTAGCTTTATTCATAATATAGAAGTGGATGAAGGCATCAGTTTGTACGCATGAAACTTATATAGTAGTACATGTCAGGTATGTCTCAGAAAAGCTGGAAAAGAAAATATTGAAGTGTACTTCAGATGTTACTAGAAATTCAAACATTTAAACTGTGTATATGTGCTGGCCAAAGTTGCTGTGTATAATATGTCCTGATAATTTGACAGTCCTCAAAAACCGGGGTTCTTGACCCCTGTTTGGGGAGCTGGGCCTCACAGCAGGAGGTGAGCGGTGGGTAAGCCAGCAGAGCTTCATCAGCAACTTGCCATGGCTTCCCATTTCTCACGTCACTGCCTGAACTACCCCCCCCCCCACTCCCATCCGTGGAAAACTTGACTTCCATGGCACTGGTCTTTGGTGCCAGAAAGATTGGGGACCCCTGCTCAAAAACATTTTGCCTGTTTGTCCACTCTTAGCAAGGAGATGTGAAGAGAATCTGCATTCCCACTGTGCTCCTCCAGAGATGCACCCACACACTCCGATAATTTCAAGGCTGACTTGAACGACAGTGTAAATCAGCAGTGATGTTCAAGAATTCCAAAGCTTCCCCATACCATACAGAACCACGAATGCTTTTTACTCCTCAGCCTAAGCCGTGCCGATGCTGTGTTACAATACCTGGTAGTTGTTTATCTTCAATATGAACGCTGGGGTAAAAGGTGATCAGTAGCTTCATTTTCCCCACTTCCTGCCCCAAGCAAAATATATGTCTCCTTTAAGGAAAAGAGACTGCACCAGAAGTTGGTCCTGTGGATTTAATTTACCTCAACCTAAAAGAAAGAACTGAGCACCTCCTCCCGTGTCATTGATTTTGTTTCTTTGTGCTCTTGTGAGTTAATAAACTACAGCACTTTCACTTTCTAAGTCAACGTTTTATCATTGATTAATCCTCAGGGGCTGATTGACTTGCATATACTAAAAGATGCAATATATTGATTTTCAGAATGTGTAAAATGCAAGACTAGTAAAGTATGTACATATGTATAACTTTTATTCAGCACACAGAATGTTATATATTCATTCCAATCTTACAACCCCTAAAAAGAACTCCAGGGTTCAGAACTCTAAAACAGAAGTTACGTGAAAATACTACTAATTGTCTTTCTGGTTTTAATAAAATTATTTTAAAATCTGCTCTGTAGATGTTAACCACGATTTTTTTTCCTGAAAACAACTGCTGTTGTTAGAGTCTTTGATAGTAGGATCTTGACTTGCCTTCAGCATTCCCCATGCAATCAGTGTCTTATATGCTAACCTACCTTCCAAACTTTGCTCTAATGCTTCTGCTTATCTTGGATTTCTTACCCCACTCCAAGCCTAGGTTAAGACCAAAGAAATCAGGAAATTTTGCCTGATGCTTTGAGAGCAAGAAAGTTAATCAGTGAAATTGGGCCTTTCTCACAGTTTCGTGAGAGTTTGTGCTCACAATTCTCCTCTAAAAGAATTGAAAGATCACTAATACTTTTACTTTTGAAGTGGCAAGCCTTAATATGTATTAACGTACTACCAATATGGTAATAAAATGAAGTTATTAATAACAATGAAAGAGAATGATCATATTTAGAAACCATACTCAGAAATGCTTCTCATTCAAAATGTACACTTTCCATACCTAAGCTTGCTTCCTTCTATTAGAAAAGGAAAAAAAATTAAGAAAATAAGTGTATAATAAATGTTCTTCAAATGATATCAAATATACAGATACTTAGAACTGTCATTCTGACTCTTGCTATTGTAATTTAGCTAGTTGTAAACTTGGTGAGTTAACAGTCATTTACAGTAATGAAGATTAATAAGCAAGGAGTGAACATTTTAGTTCACTTATAAAACAGCTTAGCCATCCAAAAGGAAGAAAAGAGCTAGGTAATATGCTTCGCACAAGGTATATAATTATAATAGAGCTTTGTGAAGTGCTTTTCAAACTTTAGTGAACATGAGAATTACCTGAAGTGGTTTTGGTTTTTTGTTTTTGGGGTTTTTTTTTTTTAGTGCAGATTCATGGATCCCTTTCCCAGAGATTCTAAACTGGTAATTCCAGGCTGGAGCCCAGAAAAATATATTTTGAATACTTAATCTCACCCTTAGGAAACTCCTTTAAAATTGAAATTCAGATCAGTCTCTGAAAATACCAATTTAAGATGACAAATGCATTGATTATTGTACCTGAACCCATTGAATTATCAGATAAAATGCTAATCTTAGCCAACCTTTCAGATATTTTATGTTACTTTGCTAGAGAGTCAAGGTAGACAGCCTGTAAAGGGCTGCTAATAAGAGTCACGATTTATTCATTCCCAGCACTATTGTTCTCGTCCTGGTTGTTAAGAATTGTCCCATAGCTTTTAGACTTCACTGACCTTTAAAGGTCATGTGGACTTGGGATTGTTTTTTAACTTTGAGTTAATTTTTACTGTCTTTGAACTTCCATTTAATACTGTCTCATCTTAAAATAAAATGGAATCACAGTACTTATTATCTGTTTCTGTTTGGTTTCCAGGGAAGACGAGGAAAACCAGGGCCTCCAGGAAAACCAGGGCCTCCAGGACCACCTGTGAGTAGACAGTAGTGTGTTTCGTCAAAGCCTGTCTGTATGTCTGTGTCTTCGTCTACAGGTCACTTTAATCCCCTGTAGATAATAATTTCCATCTCTCCACTGTTGAACATGGTCGTGTTCCCTATGCTTTTCACCATCACAAACAAGAGGTCAGGGAGGCTTGTCGCTGGCTGCCCTGGCTCCCACCCACCTCATTCCTGGACGTGAGTAAGTACACCACCTGTACGGGTGACCCATGCCATGTCCCAGATAAGTGAATCCCGTGCTGAACCCACCTGCGCCCCATCTGCTCCGTGTCTTAACATCCAGCCTGGTGGTCAGTTAGGGGTCTGTGGAAGTTTGCCCACCTTTCTTGATACAGCTGTGTTGCCAGTAAAATTTCATAGAATGTTGCTGCTAAAGATACTCATAAAGATCTCATAGCCAGTTAGCTCATCTTTTCCTTTATCCAAGCTTCTACAAGAGATGCTCCATCTCTTGTGCTCCTGCTCACTCTCCTAGAGTCTGGTTTGTGTCCAAGCAACTGCATTGCCTTGCACCCTCTGTGGTCACCAGCGTGTCTGAGTCACAAGATTCCCTGGGCACTTTTAAGGCTTCACTTTATTTCACTGCCACATGGGCTTCCCTGGTGGCTCAGCAGATTAAGAATCTACCTACAATGCAGGAGACACTGGGGATGCAGGTTCAATCCCTGAGTTGGGAAGATCCCCTGGAAGAGGAAATGTAAACCCACTCCAGTATTCTAGCCTAAAAATTCCCATGGACAGAGGAGCCTGGCAGGCAGCAGTCCCAAGGGTCACAAAGAATTGGACATAACTGAGCAACTAAACGCACAACACAATGCACACATAGGAATTAACACTGTTGACTTTTCATCCTTGAAACTCTATTCTCTTGGTTCATAGACACTGATATTTTTCTCCTCTTTGGATCCATCCTTTCAGTCTCCTTTCTTAAAGCTGTTCCCTCTTCCCTTATTTCTATGTTGCATGGTTTAAAGAATCTCAGTCTTCTCTTTCCACCCAGACATCCTCCTGAGTTCCAGACTCCTACACCCCACCACCTGCTCAGTATCTGTACTTGGAGGTCTTCTGCATGCTACAAATGTTGTCTGTCCAAAGCTAAACTCTAAAATGATCCTAGATGTTTGCTTTCTCTCTCTTTGTCCACATCCAAATAGTTCCTAAGTTATGTGAATTCTATGTCCTAGGAGCTCTCATTCTTCATGCCACTGCCTTATTTAGGCTCTTGTCAACTTGTATCTGTTTTTGTAGCCTTCTCCCAGCTGGTCTCCTGGCCTCTAATTTCTACAAGTGGAGTAATGTTTTAAATCATAACTCTGACTGTGTAGGTCTTTGGTTGAAAGCTCTTTAATGGCATCCCTTTCCTTCTAGATGGAGTCCACATTTTCTGCAGACCGGTCTAACCCCTTCAGAGTTTGCCCTTTGCCTCTCTTTGTCTATCCTTTTCTGTGCCCTTCCTCCTTTTGCAACCCATAGTGCCATCTTTCTTTACAATCTCAAAATGCCGTGGGTTGTGAATGCTCTCCCTGAGGTCCAGGTGAGCTCCCCCACCTGTAGGGCTCCGCTCAGTCCCCGAATCTCCCATGTAGCCCTTGCAGGTGTTTTCAGCACAAGAGGGTCATCGTCCACGATCCTATGAGCTTAAACCTCCTGCAGAGGGAGCACATTGCTGTGTAACTCAACTCTAATTTTTCTTCTCTTTCTGGCCACTGCCTGTGAATTTATTTGGAACCACTGCTTTATCATTATTGCATAACACAGTTTCTGGCATGTAGCATGTGACTATTAATTATTTAATGAATGAGTCAACAAATGAATGTACTTTGTAGATGAGAAAATGAAGATGGTGAATTGAGTCTCTTTCTAAAGACCAGAAGCACCTGTACCACCACTAGAGGGCTCTAGACTAGACCTCCTAGCAGTCACTTAGGGTGTGGTCACGTGCCAAAAATAAACAAGATTGCTGCTCTATCCTAGTTTCCTTTCATCCATTTAGCCATTCAAGTAAATTGTTCTCTTAGCAATGTACTGGTGTCAGTTGATATTGGTTATAAAACAAGTGAGGGGGAAAAGGCATAAATTGGGCATCCTGGAATCCAGTCTTTAAAGGAATCAGCTTTGTTATTCCAAATTTTCTAGCAAGAGAAGACACATTGTAGGATTTTCAGTAATTGTCTCGTGCTATAAACAAGAAAAGCTGGTACAAGCTATCAGGCAAGATTAGACCATCACATAGTTTTCTAAATGTATGACACTGCTTTCAAGACAAGATAATTGTTGTCTCAAAGGAGGAATTTGAATGATGAAGGTCTTTGTGACAAGCTTGCCAAATGTCTAGGAGAGAAGAGGATTATACCAAATCCTGGAATGAGTTCTCAGCTATAGATCAAATGACTTTACTGAAGAATTTAGAAGATTAAGGAACATGCAGCCATATGAAAGAGTTTATAATAGTCAATTCCACAGGTTTTAGTTTATTGTCAAAGTGTTTCGGAGAGAGAGGTAGTTATTTTATTTCAAGTGTTAGATTTAGAATATAAACTCAGCTATGGGTCCGATACACAGTGTTCATTAAATCCTGAGTACATGGTATTTGAAAGAAAAATGGTTTACTATCTTTTGCAATATTAGAAAATATCAATATGTTAAACTGGAAAATAAGGAAGAAGAATCCATGCCCCCCCAAAAGGTTCTTATTCACAGTTAGCTTTTGTTTTAAAAGTATTAGACTATACCATCAGCTCATTTTTTTTAAGAATTGTGGTTCATGGAAACTCTTTGTCTTTTGTCTTGTTTTGTTTTAATTAGAGGATAATTGCTTTATAATGTTGTGTTGGTTTCTGCCATACAATTTACAACATGAATTTAATTCTAGGATAACTCCTCTAGTTGATTAAAATTTATTTTCTCTGATACAAGTATTATCAAATTCTATCTTGGGGTTCATTTTTTATCAGCTTTTGAATTTTTAAAGTTATTTACATGGTTGGTTGAATTGGTTGTCATGTCATGCATGCCACCATACTATATAAAGTCCCATGAAGCACCTGGTCATTCTTGCAGGAATTAGTTAAGAGCAGCATTGAAAATAAAGGTGAAATACCTGGCTCCCCACATTTTTTATGCCATCTTCATGTTTAATTTTTATATGCCACCTTCATGTTTAATTTTTATATGCCATCTTCATGTTTAATTTTTCTAAACATAATGTACTTTAGCAAGAGGACTGTTATTTCCCAACTGGTTAGAAATGATCAGAGTTTTCCCAAATCAGTCCTTTCATGATCATATTAACTAATATTTTCAGAAAATGGGCTTATGAAAAATTAACCTGTCCTTAATTCACATTGTTTAATAGTTTTGCAAACTATTAAACATTTATTTAAGGCCTACTCTGTGCCTAACACCCTGTTAAGAGCTGGATTTGAAAAAATGGATATGATATGGTCCTTGCCTTTCACATATTTAGGTTTAGCTCACAGAAAATGGGACTAGAGGATGAAAACTTAGAAAAGATAATGCCAAGGTGGTTTCCTTCTGGAATTGACAACTGAGGCATAAAAACATGGAGGAACTCCTGCTCATCACGACAACATGGGTAAACTTGGAGGATGTTATGCTGGGTGAAATAAGGCAGTCACCAAAACAAGGACCGCCTTATTCCACTTTATGAGATTTCTGAAATGGTCAGACTTATAGAAGCAGAGAATACAGTAGTGGCTACCAGGCCTGAGGAGTTGGGAGTACTGGGTGTAAAGTTTCAGTTTTGTGAGATGGTTACTTTCCAGAGATCCATTGTACAGCATAGTGCCTATAGTTAGTGATATAGTAGTGTGCATTTCATTAAGAAGGTAGATTTCACATTAAGTGTTCTTACCACATACACATGCATGCAGACACACAGGGACACAAGGAAACCCTGAGAGGTGCTGAATGTATCAGTTACCTTGGTTGTGGGGATTAAATCACAGGTGTTTGCATCTGTCTAAATTCAACACGCTGTACACATTAAATGTGTGCAAGTCTTTGTATATCAGTTATGCTTCCCGAATGGTGTTAGTGATAAAGAATCTGCCTGCCTGTGCAGGAGATGCAAAAGATGCAGGTTCAATCCTTGGATCGGGAAGATAGCCTGGAGTGGGAAATGGCAACCACTTCAGTATCCTCGTCTGGAAAATTCCATAGACAGAGGAGCCTGGCAGGCCACAAAGAGTCGGACCCAACTGAGCACCTGAACACACACACAGCAGATGCCTCGATAAAGCTATTTCTGCTAATATTAAAATCGGGGAGATTCGTCCAGTAAAGCAAATAGAAGGGAAGGAGAGAGCAAGCTGGGCGCTGCTGACAGAGGGAAGCAGCCGTAACAGAAGCACAGGTGCTGAGCCCCAGGAACCCGGGCAGCTGTGGCCCAAACACTGACAGGTCGGGTCCAGCCCGGGCAGTGTCCTGGCAGACTGGCTGGGAGTGCCACAAGTCCCAGGAAGCCAGGAGGAGCCTGTGGGAGCTCGGAGTGGAGCGTCCCAGGCACAGGTCTCTGATAGGTGACTCTAGTGGGAAGGTGGTTGGATTGTTGAGAGAGTGAGAGCCTATGCAACTCTCTTAGGATTTACTGTTTAAAAGGCCAGCAGAGTATCTTTCATCTCTGTCAGCGTGTCCCATACAGTCATTTGTATTTTATTACCACTTACATATAACTTTCTTCAGGGGATGTTCCCAACCCAGGGATCGAACCCAGGTCTCCTGCATTGAAGGTGGATTCCTTACCAGCTGAGCCACAAGGGAAGCCCAAGAATACTGGAGTGGGTAGCCTATTCCTTCTCCAGGGGATCTTCCTGACCCAGGAATAGAACCATGGTATCCTGCAATCTAGGCAGAATCTGCCCCGCCTGCAATACGGGAGGCCTGGGTTCGATCCCTGGGTTGGGAAGAGCCCCTGGAGAAGGGAAAGGCTACCCACTCCAGTATTCTGTC